ACATCCCAAGCCCTGCTTCGAAGCATCACTGAAAATAGTGAAACTCCGAGAAGGATGGGGAATAGTCAACACCGGTGCTGAAGTTAATCTCCTCTTGAGCTCCTGAAAGCTCGACTCACATCTGTCAGTCCACTCGAACTTCAGAGACTTCCTAGTCAGCTGGGATAGAGGGAGGGCGATCTTGGAAAAGCCCTCGAAGAACCTGCGATAGTATCCAGCTAGACCGAGAAAACTGCGAACCTCGGACGGACTTCTCGGTGCCGACCAATTCTGAACTGCTGAAACCTTAGAAGGGTCAACCTCGATACCTGACTGAGTAATCACATGACCCAGAAAGGATACTCGCTGGAGCCAGAACTCGCATTTGGAGAACTTGGCAAACAACTTCTCTCGTCTGAGGGTTTCAAGAACCACCCTCAGATGCTCCTCGTGCTCCTTCTGACTCTTCGAGTAGACAAGAATATCGTCAATAAAGACAATAACGAACTGATCGAGGTAGGAATGAAAGATACAGTTCATGAGGTCCATGAAAACTGCTGGCGCATTGCTGAGACCGAAAGGCATGACTACAAACTCGTAATGGCCGTAACGAGTCCTGAAAGCGGTCTTAGCGATATCTGACTCCTTGATCTTCAGCTGGTGGTAGCCTGATCGAAGATCAATCTTCGAGAACACACAGGCTCCCCTCAACTGATAAAATAAGTCGTCAATCCTGGGAAGCGGGTACTTGTTCTTGATCGTCAACCGGTTAAGATCCCGGTAGTCGATACACATGCGCATGGATCTGTCCTTCTTCTTAACAAAGAGAACGGGTGCTCCCCAAGGCGACACACTCGGTCGGATTAAATCGAGTCGTAACAACTCCTCAATCTGCGCCTTAAGCTCCTGCAACTCCTTAGGCGCCATACGGTACGGGGCCTTGGATACTGGACCGGCCCCTGGGATGAGATCGATAGAAAACTCCACCTGACGGTTGGGCGGTCCTCCTGGAAGCTCGTCTGGGAATACGTCCACAAACTCTCGAACGACTGGAACATCGTGTGGTGAACGCATCATCTGAGAATCACCAACGAGGCTCACCAGATAACCCTGGTGATTGCCTCGTCTCAGCAACTTAGTGGCTTTCGCCATCGAAACAACATGAGGCAAAGAACGGTTTCTGGAGTTGAAGAAGGTAATCGGCTCGTCTCTCGGAAGATAAAGAGTAATCTCCCGATCACGACACTTGATATCTGCATGATAAGAGGATAGCCAATCCATTCCGAGAATAAGGTCGAAGTCCTTCATCTCGAGAACAAACGCGTCGGTAGGCAAAACTCGGCCACCGATGGAAAGGCTGAGATCTGAAGCTTTAGCTGAAGTCACTATCTTTCGTCCCGAGGCCAAACTCACCTCGAGAGGATCGATAGCAGAAGTAGCGCGAACTCCAATGGCATCAAGACATCGTCGTGAAATGAAGGTATGGGTCGCTCCGGTATCAAACAAAGCAAATACAGGAACATTATTAAGAATAACCATTCCGGACATGGTACCTGGCTGCTGCTCGGCCCCTGCCTGATCGATGGCATAGACTCGGGCCTGCTGTCTGCCCCTCTGCTGCTGCTGCTGAGGCTGCCTCTACGCCTGCTGACGGGGCTGCTGCTGCTGCGGTGGCTGCTGAGCCTGCTGAGGCTGCTG